ATTATGTATGCATTGATGCAATTTTTCCTTTGAATGGTTACTTTATTTTAATAAATATTATTTTATCGCATAACAGTACACAATCTATTGATTCAACCTTACGTCTGTTTCCCACCACCTGGGTCCAACTTTGGATGATGAAAGTGAATTAGGGTAATTCCTTTTTTAAGATAGATGACATTACCTTATGCATGTATCTTAACCAGAGATGGGGCTGTCATTTTGTATGTGTAATTTTCTTGTTCAATAATCGGGCAATATAATCATTTTTATAACAAATATTCAGTAAAATCAATTATGAATTACCTTATTTATGTAAAAATTAATTTACTCATATGTTTATGTTTTATTTACTTATTAAAAGATGATTTCGTTTCATAATCCTAAAATAATTATGTTACACTGTCGTTACGCAAAAATAAAAAATATTTACCCGTAAACACAATACACACATGACGACTTAAACGCGGCTGTCTGGTAAAGAAGAATTATTCTGGTCTGGCTTCTTGATCAGGTTTAAGCAAATAACACTAGGGAAATTGCGCAAATATTTATTCGGGTTTATGACCAACATTGCGGTGTAAATTTTAACTTTTATAGTAACTATATTGTATCAGCGGAAATGCATCAAATGTTTTCCTTTGATATGAAATTGTCTGGTTGAATCTATAAAGTAGATTATTATGGTAAGATATTCAATTTTCTTCGACGCAAAGTTATAGAGCTTATTTCTATGGTTCTGGGTAATGAAAAGTTAATAATAAAATATTTGATTTGCATAAACATGTTGTATAAAAGAAATATGGATACTTTACAGCAATGAAATATTGCAAATCCCGTTTCCAAGAGCGGGTTCTTTTGAGTATTACATGGCAGCATTACAACAGTCTGTTCAATTATGTATGGCCTGTCAAATTAATTCAGGTGATCAAAAATATCAGCAATGTCTTCTCGTATTTGCTTTTGTTGTTGTTTTTTATTCAAACATGGTGAAGCAATCAAAGAAATAATGTAAGTCATATCTTGTATTTTGACTAAGTAATCTTAATAATGATCATAATTTGGGAACGTTGCCATGATGTTTTTTATATTATATTTAAATTCAACATTTACTAAAACAATAGTCACTTTTTGTGAAACATGTTATGATATTTTGTAAGATCAGAAATCTTACAAGTTGTTTCGCAGCCCTTCATTATTTCTTTAATGTCTTAACAAAGTAGATCTACTTGATTATCAATCAGTTTAAAATAACATGTATTTCAACTAAAGTTAACATTTTGTCATTTTTTCAAAATGTGCATTTTATGGACAAATGACATTCATGTATTCAAATATAGAAAAAAGTTTATTATTATTGTTTTGAAAAAAAACAGTGATTTATAAGAAACAAAACAGAAAAGAAAGGTACATATATAATTGAATGGGAAGTAATGCACTCACGCCACTGTAACTAACACTAAGAATGTTTATAAAATATGAAATTGTTAACAAAAATAACTGACATTCTACTTAAAACAGCACGCCTCCAGATTCATGCTAATTTTCATGAAGATTTTGAAAATGTTTTTGAATGTGTAATATTGTGAAGTAACCAAAAGGAAGCAATTTACACATTATCAATGACACTTACAAACACGTAAATTACCAAAAAGTGATCAAAATATGCATAAATAGTCTTTACTGCGTTAGTAACGCAGTAGAAATATAGTTGTAAATACTGAAAAATCAGTACTTCATCGCACATTATATGTAAAATATAACTTGAATCTTGAAATTTATTTACTGTCCTTACATCTAAGTACATTTTCTCAAGTTTGATTCTGTTGAAATACTTTGACTCATCTGCAGGCATGTATCTTCAACTAAGCTTACAATAAATACATGATCAACAAATAAAGGATATGGTGTTTAGGGACTAACTTATTCAACAGAACTGCTTGAATACGTCTTATGAAAGTTTTTATTTTTATAGTGAATATAACTTGAATACAAATATAATTATTTTGTACAAATTTACATTAAATCAGCTGAAAGGTAGTTCTAATTAACTTCCGTGTAGTACGACATAGATTGATTCACGAAAGCATGTCTGAGATTCAGTGATAAATTAAATGTTTTGCTATCTAGGAATCATTGGGATTAGACAATAATCCTATGAGATTCCAGGAAATTGTCTCGACATCGTGGCGGCCCAAATCTGTCTTCTTGTATTAAATGAGAAAACTTTAAGCTGCTAGATTTCCAAGAAACCAACAGAATTTGATTTGCTCCATGACATGAATCTAAGATGGCATGAAAGGGGTAAGACTTCAATAATGATAGTTTTATATTCTATATTTATTATAAATAACATCTTGATATTCCTTTTAGAATGTGTGTAATATCAAATATATCAAAAGAGAAATATTATGATAGAGATAGTGTTGACCCAACAACAGTAAGTATGTACTTCAGTACAGCTTAATGATTGAAAAAAATGAAAAAGAAATATATAATATGACAGCATGAAGAATATGCATGTATTTTAAAAATACATGTTAGTTCTCATGTTATTTCTGAACAAAAAAATGGTGTTCTATTATTTCTGGGGTTTGTTATTTCTAGGAAGGCTGTCAATATAGTCTATACTAAATCATTTTTATCGTAGAAGTGGTGATTTTACTGAGCTAGTGTCCATTTTTTACACATTCGACAAAATATAGTTTATGTTTTTGATTAATAGAAATGGAATCAAAGATCAATGTTGTATTTCTAAGTATACAAATTAGATTCGTACAATGAAATTGCTGATTGTATTTTAAGTTACGTTCCATCTTGAAACTACAGTAATGAAGATCTTACGCATTTATGACGTTGCATGTTTTATCAGGCAAGCGTACATCAATGTAATCAAAAACGTAAAATAAACTAAGAACAATCATTACTATAGTAGTATTACAGTGTATAATAGGTTGTAATATTAATCTGGGCTGCGTTTCATAGAAAGTCCTGAGTGTATCCTAAGTTCTAGGACTTATGAAAACTAAAAGACTAAGTAAAGACCGTTTCAACAAGTATTTACATCTTTAGTAAAAATAGTATAGTTCTTTTGCAATGTCTGTTGTCATGTAATTGTGACAAAATTGTTGACGATGTTAAATGATTTTGTTGTTGTTGTTGTTGTTGTTGTTGTTGTTGTTGTTGCTGTTGCTGTTGTTGTTGTTGTTGTAAAAAGTTTAGACTTTTATCTCATTCATTCTCCTCAGAAAAGTTACAAAATACAATGACACGCGCGCTTTAAACCGTTATGTAAAAATGTCCATCTGCATCTTTATTCAGAAAATGAAGAGTCCCAATAAAATTGTCATAAGTTAGGACATTTTTCTTACAAACGAAAATTGTTTTAGTTTTGGTCTTAAGACATATTTAAGACTAAGGACTTTCCATGAAACGCAACCCTGCTACCAATGATGATTTATACGTTTTAGTATTGAAATAGAACTTGTCACAAAATATCTTGGGAAAAATACGATAATTCGTATCCCTAAAATTAAAGAAACAAGCAGCATTTACATACTATGTTGCACTGGTTCAATTAGTTTAAGACTATGTTTATTTATTTAATTATATTTTGTTACTTGAACCTTAGCCTTGTTTAGATTTCAAAATAACTTACTATACTTATACACTAATATTTATGCCCCCTTCGAGGAAGAGGGGGTATATTGTTTTGCTAATGTCGGTCAGTCTGTCTGTCGGTCTATCTGTCTGTCTGTCGGAAGACCACATGGTTTCCGCTAAATATCTTACAAACTATTTATCACAAAGTCTTCATATTTCACATAGTGATTAGTCATAACTAGTAGATGGCCCCTATTGATTTTGGGGTCATAAGGTCAAAGGTCGTCAAAGTCACAGGGGCCTTAAATGTCAGAATAGTTTCCGCTCATTATCTTGATTATAATTCATCACAAAGTCTTCATATTTCACATATTGATTGGTCATAACTAGTAGATGACCAAAATTGATTTTGGAGGCACTAGGTCAAAGGTCAAGGTCACAGGGGCTTTGAATGGTAGTATGATTTAGATGATTATTATCTTGAAAACTATTTATCACAAAATCTTCATATTTCACTTACTGATTGGTTATTCCTAGTAAGTGACCCCTATTGATTTTGGGTTTACTAGGTCAAAGGTCAAGGTCACAGGATTATTGAATGTGTATGGTTTCCGCTCATTATCTTGAAAATTATTTATCACAAAGTCTTCATTATTTTTCTTTTTTCCATAATTGAACACTTCCATGTACCCATTTATGGCAAGTTTCTATAACAAAATTACCGATAATGTGAGTCAATGGCTAGAAAGGGGGGCATATGTGTCGTTCGACACTTCTTGTTAATCTCAACTTTCAGCAGAACGTTCGTTGGTTGTGTTATTGAGATTTGCCTATAAATTAATCTGTAATGTAGAGAGAAAAGTTTTAAGTGGACCGTAGTACAAAGTTCCAATACCAAAAAGGAAAATAAAAAAGTAAAACACGAAAAATGTCAATATATTTCATATTACCGATGGAAAATAAAGAAATCAACACATCTTATTCATAAAAATCTATAATTTTTATTTATTATTGTTGATACATAGACTATTCTGATATGTGTAATGAGTGTGAAGAATGAGAGAGAAGTCAATACGTAATTGACTTCGTAAGAAACAAAATTGTTTTGCTATAAATACACTTCATGTGGAAGCATCATTTCCTACAACGGGGTTGGTGAATTGAACCTCTGATTTCAGAAAGAAATGAAATACGAAAACGTCAAAAAGCACGCCGATTGACGAACAGACAAAATCAGCGACACCTTTTCATATCCCCTCTTTTCAACGGTTAAATCAGTGAATATATATGTAGTATATCTGTTTGGATATGTGTAAAATACTGGAAAAGAGAAAGAAGTGAACAAATTAGATTTTGCTCCCAAATTGAAGTTAAGAACAGCTACATTTTTTAAAAAAAAATATTTTGGAATGAAATACGCACAAACCAAAATTGTCTGTTTCACTGGCCACTGGCCTAGTCTAATAGTCTTATAAAATAATTTAACAATGATCGGCTAAATCCTTGCAATACAAATTTCTTTGCAAATATAATATCTTCTCGTTATAGATTTGTACTAGAATGATATGACCCGTATCCGTCATTTTCTCGTTCATATGTGTTATTTTTCTCTTTATTCTTGTAAGGGCGGATTTCATCAACACCTTCAAACTTCTTTACCAATTCTTTTCGTTTTTCTGTATCATCGAATTCATCGAAGTCCTTTGATCAAAAGAGAAATAATATGATTTAACAAGTGTCATTCTCTCCGAAAGTAAAGTGCTGTTTCTTCATCATCTTATAAAGATCCTGTAACTCAATGTTTTATGGTTTTATATCATAAATATAATGCTCAAATGAAGATTTATCAATATCAACAAAAAGCATTATTTATAAAGATATTACCGAATTTACATTTCTTGTTAATAAAGGGAGATAATAAAAAAAAATATTTTCTATAAAGTCAAATTTTTCAATAAGAAATGAATGCATATATTTTAATGATTACATTTATGTGGACAAATATTTGCAGTACATATTTTACATATTCTTCGATGTTTGAAAAAGATTTTTTAGAAGAATAATTATATACATATATAAAATTTCACTTAAGTGTGGTAACAACTTTCAATCGGTTTGAGCGCGAGACTTGTGATCTCGACATTGTGGGTTCGATTCCCGGGCTGGCCAACTAAAATTACTAATCAGTCTTTCAGATGAGACTTTAAATCAAGGTCCTGTGGATGAGTGTTTTAACACTTGGCATGTTAAAAAACCAGGGGAAGCTTCTTGAATTGGGGCATCTTTCTGTATCTGTATCTTGCACTATCCTCCAAAATATAAGATGACTAATACTCTTCTGGAGGACTCGCCCATATGGGTAACCGGTGGCGAAAATTAATAAACTGAAATGCACGCACAAATGAAACAACTTTAATTACAACATACAATATTTGTATTGATGAAAACATTAACTACTTCAACTAAATTAAAACTATTTTTTAGCTGTTGCATATTTTGAAAGTGTAAAGTAAAAATTAAAATTTTACCTTTTCACCATGTCTCACTCCAAACCGCAGAGGTTTTCGCCACTTCTCTGGTAAAAATGGGAAGAATACATCGAAAATCGGGCAAATCAATTTTGGGTTTAATTTTGATGTATCTGTGATACCTGAAATTTTAAATTTATCTTACTTACGATTTCACAAGTTTATAATGCATATCATCTTTTCTTTGATAAAGAATGTAAACATCCTACAAAATTATATTTTTATATACTTATAAATGTAAAATTGACAATTATTGATGAAATAAAATTGTTATTTTCATTTACGTATTTTCACGGTAAAAATGTATTTTCCACTGTAGTGAAACATATTTTCCGTATATTCACCGGTGTCGTGTCGGGCTATTTTCTTCTTAATTCAGCAAAAATTATACATTCAAGAAGTTTTAAGAATTGTAATGACAAAAAAAGACAAAAGTATATAATAAACAGAAAATTCAAGTGAAAAAAATATATGCACAGGATTTGTTTCAATCTTGTGATATGAAAATAATCATATTTCACTTGACCAAAACACTACCAGTAAATTGTGATAGCACATGTATGTAACTTCTGTGAACTTTGAAGAAAAGGTTAGGAATGTAGAAACAGAAATTACTGATGGGAAGCTATATTGAAAACGAAGACACTATGTACGTGTAAAAATGTGGTATTGATAAAAGAGTAAGTTACCTGTTATTAAACTAACAACCATACCAACAACGACAACAGTACACACCCCTATACCAGAATACCACATGTAAGATACTGTGTATAAACGGTTGATTCCCCTGAAAATAGACCACACAATAATAGTCAAAAATGTATAATATTGATTAACTTAAATATTCAAATGTTTTCAGTAAACTTACATCTAAAAATGTTAGGTAGCAACGTATTACAGTTCTGATGAGGTACGATGTTTATAAAACAATATATTTCATCTGATAGTAATTAGCACCTAGGTTTTCACTAAATGAACAGTTAAAATCACAAATAATTTGCCATGAAGTATATAGGCTATAAATGTTTTGATATTTTATTATGATAAAGTAACATGGAACGAACATTTTCTCAAGGTAAGGGGTGTATGACCAATAGCTTGATAAGCGTATACGTTGGCAATATAGACAGACATTCCATGACTTCAAATACAAACTCTGCAGAGCAACACTTTTTGGAAGGCAAATGTGTATGTTTTTGCTCTAAAAATAATATTTTGAGTTTTTCTAACATTGAAAAGAAATAATAAGGATATTGCAGTGCGGTCACTGCATTACTAAAGGTTTTGATGTATTCTAAGAATGTTATCTATTGTGTTTTCAGAGAAAATATTAATATTCACGTGATTGCTAAGACAGGTTTTTCATTTTTCTTTGATAAAAATTATATACGTTCAAACATACTCATATTTATCAAATATGTGAGTTGTAGAAACTGTTTCTACTGAGGATGGTGCCATGCTTGTTGTTGTTGATGATGTTGTTAGTGTTGTTGTGTTTGAGTACTTCCAAATACAACCATCAACAGAAATTGGTGATTTAATGTTAACGCTAGTTTTTGTTATGGCAGTACCGAATGATATCCAGATATTCATGATGAGGCCACAAACAAGACCGATACATCCACCCTAAAATAATATTAAATATATTGAATTGATAGAGACAATAAAATTCGTTATTATTATTATATAATATATTTTCTTATCAAACAGAAAGTCTTCACCCACAGAGTAAATAAAGCTTCCTTATAATATGAATTGAGCATGAATTACCAATTTGTATACACAGATCAAGCTTTACAAAACTGCTAGACCCGAGAAAAAGTATGGTTAACATTTTAGCGAAACCATATTTTTATTAGCTTGAAGATTGTTGAACTTTGGTAGTTCAGTATTCCTAAGTAATTTTTTTAAAATTTTGAAATTGCATTTCTTATAAATCATTCTCACCAGTTTATTTGACCATGGAAAAAGCATTCCTAAACAGAACATTCCAAGCATAGGTCCACCAAGAGCTCCAAATAAAACGTTAGCAAGCTATGAAGATAGATCGGTGAGAAAAATTATAAGTCATCTCTTATTCAACAGATAAAAGGGAAAAACATAAGTGTTTATGTAATTTTCAAAATATAATAATAATTAAGAAATAAGAATATATAAAATTATTTACTGAATAAATTGAGAAAAACGGTCTCTCCTTGCCTCTATCTACATTTTGATAGAAGAAATTCTGCACACATTATTCTATGGTAATAGATACATAACCTTTATTTTTAAAACATTCTAATTAGGATGACAAAATCATAAAATAATAATATTACCGTTAGAATAAGGGTTCCGAAATTTGAAACGACAAAAGCAAACGCAATTGACAAACCTCCAAACACAACAACTGTTGGGGTAAAGGGAATAAAAGTTTGTTTAACTATTGTTTTGAGATTGAACACATTATATGCTATGCAGTTATTTTTTATTATTTATTTATTTATTTTACTTTTGTAGTTGAGTGACAAATCTTTTCCAGAATGAAATATGTTACTTAAAAATAAATACCTGTATAACCGTGTTCATATAAATTTTGACTGCTTTTTAATATCAAATACATATTAAAACTTAGAAATGAAAATTTACATCGGAAGCATTAATCACAACAAAATGACAAAAAGTTTGATGTTCTTTCAATGATTTAATTTTTTAAAATTTAGTGAACTGAAATGGCAGGTTACTCTACCACCTTCAAGAATTAGAAATAGCACGGTATGTTTCGAAGCAAAATAAACATAAATGCGAAATAAGCACAAATATGTTTTTATTTTGTTTAATATAAAATCACAGTAAAACGTATGCTTACCGAAGCCTTTAGACAACCACGTTGCAGTACTGTCAGATATATTTTTGCAGCATGTTGGCTTTATAAAGTCTTCCAACATTACTGCAGCTATTGCATTAAGTCCTGATGACACCGAGCTGAAACACATGTAATATTAAAATTATTCTTCCGTACCTTTTACAACGGATTTAAATCCGTGCTTTTACTGATTTGTGTGTGTGTGGGGGGGTGGAGGTAGTGGATAAAGATAAAAGAAATATTGTAAATGTTTTCATAAAACAAAGCAAAGAAGACTAGTTGTTTTCTTTGTGGGTTATAATCGTTTTTGACCCTCCGCAGCATTTTAGATTATACAATTATTGACTACTGAGCCATTGAATATGATGTGATATTCACCGGCAGATGACATATTGACCGAGGCGATAGCCGAAGTCAATACGACTTTCAGCCGGTGAATATCACATCATATTCAATGGCTCACTAGTCAATCATTGTTTTATTATATGAATAGGCTAAGAAATAAAATAAAATCACAAAAAGTACAACCTTATATACATGTACAAATTTTGCCTCGTTGAAGTGCGGGGAAAGAGACGCACGTGTTAGGCGTGCAACGACTACGCGAACGCTGCGCATACAAAAATAATTCAAGTTTATACTCATCATTGCGGTGTTGCCTTTAAGTATAATAGTAAAGTAATGATATTTTAATCGGGAAATTTGCCATAAAGAACAAAAAGCAACAATTATTTTTTAATTAACACGCGTAATTAACAATCTACGGTGTATGATCATTGAATATGAGTCTCAATCTATTTTAGACAAGGAAAATCTAATTCATCCAGTGAATATGATACTACACCCAGTGAATATGATATTATAAAAAGTTCTGTTGACTACTGTTTGGACCAATGAGATTGCAGCTATACTAGTATTTAGATCATATAATAAAGAATCACAACACGTCATGCATTTCTAATATTGATTCACTAAAATGATTAATATAATATTTGTTTGTTTCAAGGTAAGATTACATGTAAAATAAAACAAGTTTTCATTCATTTCATACTTATTGGTTTAAGCAAAGTGAATATATTGTTCATCATACCTCAGACTTCCACTGAAAATTGTAGATAAGAATAATCCAGGTAAACCAGGATATTCACTAAGCAAATCCATCATCCATAAAGGTACTAACTGAACAATAAAAATAGATGTGATAAGCAGAGCAATTTATGAAGGTACTAACTGAACAATAAAAAAATAGATGTGATAAGCAGAGCAATTTATAGTGTGGTTAATTTAAGCAATGATTTATTACATATTTACATCAAACCACGAATACCAAATAATGACACTGACAACGCCATAACAACACCTAAATAAATTGGCAAATATAATATTATTACGAATCAAATGCAGTGTGGCATCTATACAAAGTTCCCCCACCCCTATTTCATTTTATCTTACACGTTATATTTTTCAATTTCAATCAGGATCATTGATGGCAGTATGTTAGTGTTAAAGATTGAATATTCATTAAGCTGGTGCTATGAAGCATAAGAGATGCTACATGTTGTCATTATCTCTTTGAACAGACTCAATCAAATCTAGTTGGCAAAGTTTATGTAGTTTGGTTCTTTTTATAGCTTCTGAGGGATCTCTTCTTTTCAAGATTTTTATGGAGTACGTATAACCTTTCACAAGAATAAAACTTGCAAAAGCAAAAAAAAATTCTTGGAGAGTCCGGGTCAGTAAAGTGGCAAACTGCTTTTTATGGTTTTATCGCAACGATTATACCTGAACTAAAAATAAGGAAGCATTACCTGGTCCGGCTTATCAACCAGTCCTGATTTGACAGGATCGCACTCGGAGTAGAAAGCATACATGACAACACCAACTAAACAGCATAGAAGTAGAATAGTGTCATATCCTATTACATTTAACCAAATGGCTCTGAAATTAAAGAAAAAGCACCTTCCTTATTATACTCTATGTTATTTAAATGTGGGACACGTTATTCTTATTGACTGATGTATTTGAAATAAACTGTTTTGAAATATTTTTTGCATGTTTAGTACTATACAAATTGTTTAATACACTCACATATGTTTAATAATGATATTATTTGTAATTTTTCTGCTGTTTCATTATATGTAACCTTGACTAAATAAAGAAATTATCCTTAACCACCTCATATACGAAGAGCAAATTGTAACCAGAGATGCTTATTTTCTGTTATTTAATTCGAAAAAAATGCCAATTTCATAATATCATGTTTTCAATGTATGCATGTAATGTAACTATATAAGTTTAAATTCCAAGGTTAAACGTTTGTGAATCTTGAATATTCATTACATTGACATTGAGATGGTAAACATTTCTGAAATCAAAACGCCTGTGACTTTTTGTTCAGTTTCAAAACCAAGTTAACTTTTCTCGTTCTGTAAATGTAATAACATTTCGAAACAGGAAACAGTGTTCTTACATTTTTGACCGGGAAACATTTCTAACTGAAAGCGCCCTTTGAACTTGAGCCTGGTTTGTTCCATAAACAGCGCACCAAAATATTCCTCCACCAATCACAAGATTCCAAACTGAGTGTCGTACTCGCGGATCAGGATCAAACCTTTCATGTACAGAAATAAATATATTAGAGATAGAAATTATTGTAAATGATAAAAATGCCATATCAAAGTTATATAAAGAATATATAAACACATCGTATATAGAAGAAATGAGTTGGGTTATAATAAATATGAAAACAATTATGTTATCATATCATTTGTTCTAATACAATATTTCTTTTCTTACTGAAGCTTTTTAATTTATAAACCTCTATATATATTCTACCAAAAATACAGACAAAAATTATAGTTGACAGTTTTATGCAAATTTTCAGAAAAATTAAAAATCCATACACATAATGAAAACACAATTCTCACTCTAACAAAATTATTCTTTCATTTTTGTTGGCAATATCCCATGCTTTGCCGATGCCTCCTAAAGCTTTGGTACCTTCTATCAAAAGTGCAAAAAGGCCGGCAAACATAACCAACACTTGAAACGTGTCTGCCCAAAGTACTGCTTTCATGCCACCCTTTAAAATAAGAAGAAAAATATTCGCCTATATTAGGGCAAGGGTCCTCAATTGTTGCATAAATGATACTTTTTTCAAGCTTTTTTCATTAACTTTATGTAAAGCATAGTTAAATGGCATAGACAAAATGAATACATTGAATCCACTTTTCCCCGTGATAATTATTTTATAAAACTCAATGTCGGTCATCCTTTGATAATGCACGAATTCTTGGGCATATTTAACTTCATATGATCTGTGTAATTATATAACTCGCATCATGTGATAATATGCACTAACACACTCTTAAAATTGAAATCTGGGGGTGGCCCACTTTGTAAAATTGTGATAAAAATGTAAAATGTGTGTATATTTATTTGACACAATAAGACAATATTAAATATTAAAAAATATATCAGATGAATGACACGGAAGATGTGACAAAACGCTTACCAGAGCTGTGTAGAAGATACAAACTGAACTGACTGCCAGAAGAGATCCCCATAACGATAAACCAGTTACTATATAAAGGTAAAATATACAACATTTCAATCCAGTTATTAAATTTAAAGGAAATGCGAATTAATTTACATTGTATATATCAATTCACGTAAATACACTATTTTTACTACAAATTTATTTCAATCTTTACAAATCTTTTCTAGCATGTTACAATGTCGATAATGAAATAATACAGACCCGCATTTAAGGCCAGAGATGGTCCATAGAGCACAATAGCCATGTAAAACATCTGAAATAGCATAATATATTAATCATGTGTTACATCTGAAAAAGAAATAAAATAACACAAAAACCACGTTAAACATCTGAAATAGAATTAGAACAAAACATCGGAAAAAGAATAACGCGATATTCATGTTAAACATGTGAAAAAGAATTTGAATTTCATACATGTAGGCCTACATAATAGCCATGCAAAATATCTGAATTAGAATAATATAATAGCTTTGTAAAACATCTGAAAAAAATAGAATAAGACTTTAGTCATGCAAATAACCTGAAATATATATAGAGCAAAAATGTTTAAATAAGAAATCATTTTAAATGTAACAAATATGAAAAAACCTTGTAAAGGTATAAATAAGTTTAAATCCCCGTATAATCTTACTAATCCTTATATCTTTCTAATTAGACATAGCCTGGCAAGATATTGTCTGGCAAGATTCGAATACTACATGTTGTCTAATTAGAAAGATATACGCTATAGTAAGGTTTTCGCATTTGTTACTTTTAAAATGATTTCTTATTTAGACGTTCATTACTTGCTGAAAAATTATGATATTTGAACGAGTTCATGGTATTGTTCATGATTTATTTTTTTTCTTGATTAAAATAATTTTTATATATATCCAATAAATCCGGAATTCCTTATTATTTCTCTTACTACATCTGATAACATCTTATTATTTAGTTGCTGCATTTCTTTCTTACCATCCAGATGATATAGACGACGCTTGCAATTGTCCTGGTAACGCGGCCAAATCTCATTTCCACATACTGAAATAGATTATGTGTGTTTCTGTAATACAGTAAGCAAAAATTTTACACTTTTACACTGCTGACTGAGGGCACAGTTTTTCATATTTGTAATCTACATGTATTTGGATATTAAGTCGGTGAATGAAGTAAAATCAAATAACGACTAAAATAGTATATGGTAAGCTTATTTTATATTGATATATTAGAAACAAACCTACTAAAAATACTTCATAATTAATATAAAAATGATTTTAAGTGATCAAGCTCGCTCGCCTGTCTGGTGCAAAAGTGATATTAAACAACTATGTCGTTCAAAAAAATAGTGAAATAATAATAACCTTACCTGAAAAACACTTGTTACTCCTAGGTTGTAAAATACAGGGATGAAAATATGTGCAGCACCGACTGCGGTTATAACCATACCGACAGCTTGCCATCCATACATTGTGCTATTCACATACACTTCCGCCGGCGTTCCTATAATCATGATTGCTGACACAAAGCTGGACACCAGTGACATTGCAACCGGAAATGGATTCATAGAGCGTCCGGCAAGCAGGTACTCCTCTGTAGTGTTCTTTCTCCTATCCTTTATTGCATAAAATATACCGATTGCGGCCGAAAATGCCAAAGTACATCCGAATACGGCATAATCAGCAGGATGAAACGTTTTCTTTTCTCCTGTTAGAATGCTATAGGACGCAGACGACATTTCGATATATTTAATTTAATGATCTGTTAATAGTGTCCAACTTCTTGCATTAAACACGTTACAGTATTTACCACACACCTTTGACTAATTCCCATTCAATTAAGATGTTGATATATTAACCCTTCTTCTTTTGCACGGCTGTTTGAATGTACAGTGATGGTATAGTTACATTTGTTATAATGCAGTAAACCATGCATATAGTTGTGGTATGTACACTCGTCTAAATACACTCTTAAATGTAATAACACATCTCTCCTCTCTCCCTACAACTGATCTCTTATTAACACGATAGTAAAGAAATCCATTTACCTCGTACATGTACATCATCATATATACATATACCAGAAGCGAAATGTATGAACATGTATACTTGAAGAAATGTGATTTGTTTCTCTTTTCAATAAGGTCTCGTGTTATATTATAACAGTGATATACATACGACCCTACTGTGTTATGACATTTATAGTGTACATGTATAATAGTACAAAATACTTTATATTAATCATCGACCCTATTGAAAATACTTAAATGTCGACCTACACTGGCGTTAAACGGTCACTTTAGTCGATGTAAATAAATTTTCCTTACTGTTATCCGTTTACTGAATATATTGATTTGTTTTGTATAAACTTTAATTAGTTATTAGAACGTGCAAACAGCTTTATTAGCATAAAATTAGCACAAATATATCACCGTCATTTAATACATTTATTTCAATTAATACCTACGTTTTGACCATCATGCAATTCATCCGCTAAAAATTGTTAAAACATTTCAAAAACCTTGTTTAATACATAAAAAAATGAATATTTTTACAAGATTCCAGTGATTTTTAATGAGTTTAATAAAACAACGAATTACCTGCGGAAACGATACATATATGAAGTTAAAAGAGGAAAATGATTTCGAACTTTCACGCCAAATGTGTCGTCACGTGAAATTGTAAATTGTTTACATAAGCATGCTAGATAAAAGATATATGAATATAGTATCATATAGTGTGGCACGTGACCTACGTGTGACGTAAATAGGGCAACATTTTTGTATGTATTTATTATTGATGTGTGACAACAGATGCTCAAAGAGTGATGTTATTCGACGCCCGGAAAGCTTCACGAATTTTAACATTTAAAGGTTAAATTATGCAATAACAGGTCAGTATAATGTCAAATGAATTAGATTCAACTGAAATATCAATAGATCTATTCGAAAAAAAATATCATGTCGACATTTAACAAATGAAATACAGTTTAATACTCAACTGTATAATATATGTTTAGAAACATAACACTTATAAAAATGAAAAACGAAAAAGTGGTTCGCCATGGTTGGTGCTAATTAATACTTTCAATAAAATACAAAACGTTCTTACGCAGTACAACTTTCTGTGTATCAGGCAACCGATCAACTAAAATGTATATGATAAGTGTTTGCTAACAATGCTATACAGCACGCTGAATCTATCCATCATAATAGTTGTCAATTAAATATTACAGCCTTGTTGGTTTTGCTAAATACAAACATTTTTCATGATTTTCTTAGACTTTGATCGATCTTGCGAATAGCTTTTTGAGAAAAGGATCTACCCAGCGTCTCAATGGTTCAAACATTGATCGAAAAGCTTCTGCAAATACAACTATATATTGAAGATGTTGGTGCTTGCACTGTTTTAGCGAGAATTGAGTTTTTGTTCTACTAACGCCTGAAATGTTTTGAACATATTGATATTATCTACATACATCATTGTCAATAATTCAAAATAGATAAATAAACATAAATCAAAAGCGTACTTGAGACAGACGTATGCAAGGAACAACACTGATTAATAATACAACAATGAACTATTAATACAATTTCCTTATATCATAGATATGCTAGTTTGTTTATTTGATAAACTGTCTAATATTTAATATAGTGAAAACAAAGATAATAATGGCTTAGAGTGAAGATAAAGTTGCTTAATTTTTTATACTTATAAAAGGGAAAACATTCCTAACCATGATGAGAATAGGCTTCAAAAGCATGCTTAAGGCCTCAACAGACAGTAGGATTTACATGTACAACACCAATTAAACTTAGATTCTTAATTAACGACGGCTACTATTTCTTGAATTCGTAAACCTTAATTCTAAATTTACAGGATAGTACATGTTCTTTTTTTGTAATTTTTGTACATACCTCCCATGATGACTGGTGACAGATTTTTCAACAAACCATGATATATTTTTTGATGAACATTTATTTTAACACCCACTTCAATGTAAACGAATAATTTCCCAATGACTTTTTTTATTAAAATCTGATGATGTTGAAAATAAACACTGATCTCTACAGTAGGTTACGTACAACGCTGATAACTGCGTTTAATAGTCAAACATAAAAACACGTTCCCTGTTGTCACAATATGAAACCCCCGGGAAAAAGTAACCAATGAACGAGCATCTGAATATGATATTTCTGTCGCGTTCCCTTTCTCTTCCGTCACAATAAGTAAACCCTATAAAAAATGAGCCAATCAATGGGCATGCTCTGGAGTTCGGGTAACTAATACCTGCACTCCAGTTAACGCACTGTGCATTTTTATGTTTGTATACGATTTAACTCTAACACATTTTCAACAGAAAGGTCTCCAAACTATGGTACAATTGATATTTATGTGCCTCAGACATTCAGCGTTAGTAATTAATTTCTGAAAGTGTGAGTTTTCCGACATGTTCACCGACAGATGTGAGACAATGTATACCATTGTTAAGCAATTGTGACATAATGCATTACAATGGTAAAATCCATGTAATTGTGATATAATGCACTTGGTTAGCATTGTTATAGTAGTGTAATGTAATTGACCCAATACTTGCCGTCTACAAGATTTCAGGATGTTGTCGGATATCTAGTAATAGTGAATGTCGGTTAATTGTTTTCACATTCAGATAAATATACTAATTTATATTTGAATTTTAAAGATTATAACAATAAACGTGTCCATGTCAGTTATAAATAAATCAAGCTAATAGTAATAGAACAACAATCATTTTTAACAGAAGTCACGTCTTAATAATTCGTTATATATCGTATATATCGAAAAAGGATAACAAAAAATGTGTAACAGAGCATTACGACGTTTACAAATGATCTGTAAAAATATGTTAAAGGGATTCTGAGTAAGGAACGGTGACATATTAATCATTTTTAATCATAGATTGAAGTCAGGTGTCTTGATTAAAAATATATAATTGAAATTGAAATGACGATAAATGTTTTCTGTCCAGTTTTTATAGACATACTATTGACAAAATACAATTGTCTGATTTTTTAAGTTATTTTATTAATCAATTACGAAAGACTAATTTGAGACATACTTTTGCGTATTGTCATTGCTAGATTATGTTGGGGACATTAATATCTAATATTTGTATAACGAAATAAGCTATAAAGAGTATAATGAAAGACGTAAATAATCCAGAAAGCTTATCTTATAACTTTTGTATCACCAGCCTATATATAAGACAAAAAACCGGGCTTTATAATACTGTTCATTAGACATCGGACGTCGTCGGGTCTAAAGTATTTAATGTTCTTTATTAAAATATCTCTGGAAATCCAACAAATGTCTGCATGTGATATAGAATGACTGTGCTTTATTTATTTCATTTATCATTTTAATAAACAAAATATTCTGCAACACCGTGTGTATCTTTTTAAAACATTGCATAGAGATACTAAATTATCATATATCTTCTTTTCTTTTAAGTTGTAATTTTATTTAGCTAACTGTAAGCAGAAAATACTATAAAAAATATTTCTACAATTTTGTCAAATATGAAAAAAAAATGATATAGCAGTAAGAAACTATGTATCTTTTAACCTTTTCCCTGATATAGACGTGTGTTTGGCGGTTTTTTTGTCCCCCCCACCCCCTTTGAGGCCTCAAACAGTGGAAAAATGCCCTATTTCGGCCACAAACACTGTTTTTTCGTTTGAAAAATGTTGTTAAAAAGTGACCATCTTTTCGGCGCGGCCCCCATCAAAATGATACATTAAGGGGTTGAAAGAAGGGGGATGTGCCCCCTCCTGTTTGGGCCAAGAAAATTTTGGGCATGAGACTGGCTAAAAATGGCCTCAGGTCGATCTTACGGTGACATGTAACCAACGCTGAAAAGCCTTTTACTCTATCTCATTGCATTGAGAAGTTGCAGCACTTTGAAATCAGTTTTGATGAAAACAAAACAATGCAAAATAGTGATTTTTCTCAATTATGAGACGTCCTCCCATTGCTATGGTAACAGGAAATTTAAGATTTAGCATGTTGTTACAGAGGGTATGGTTCAGTCAAGATATGTGTCAAGTTTCATCAGTATTGAAGCATTTTTCATAGTTTTATAGCAGTTGGAACAGGAGGCTTTTCAATGAAAACGGCCATTTTTCACAATATGCTCATGGGGTAAAAGGTTAAGGAAATTAGCAGCATTTTCATACGCTTTTGCACTTACAACAGTAAGAATTTTCCCCCGAATATTACATATTTCTAAACTTTTAAACAGGTATAACAATATGCACCGTTTCATTCTGCAGCATGTGATTGTATAATTGTAAGTCTTACATACTGTTGACGATGTCACTAGAAAACTCATCGTTGGAATAATTTAATATGTCTAATTTCTTAATCTTCACGTTTATCTCTATTTTTAGATTTAATTTATGTTCTTATTTAAACCCATTTTTTCCTTAAGTATTATATCTTTATAAATGTTTTATAAAATAACACTTTCATTTTTGAATCATTTTCTTATAAAGTATGTTATTATCGAAAGAAATACTCTGTTCAACTACAAAACAGTGTAGAGCTATTTTATCTGATATCGGGAAATTTAATTATAAAACATTGTTATGCATATTCGTGCAATAAAAAAGGAACATGGATATTCTTTCAGCAAAGAAATATTGCAATTCCCGCTTCCACGAGCGCGTTCTTATGAATATTACATGACAGGATTACAACATGCTGTTCAATTATGTATGGCATGTCAAATTAAATCAGGCAATCAAAAAAAATTCAACAATATGTCTTCTCATTGTGTGTGTGGGTTTTTTTTCTATTTAATTTCTCTGCAGAAAGTCTTAGAAAAGAGATAAATTCAAATTAGTAAACAAGAAATATTTTAGCTCGGAGCGAGTACTTTAACTAATATATCTTATGTAACATTCTAGAACGATGACATTGTGTTTTTATATGTGTGTATGCATGTATAGACACTTTTGTTACTTTTGTTGCATTTTAAGATGTCAAATCCGATATGAAATTTGAATTGACAAACTTTTATTTTAAATGAACAGTGTTTTATAAGGACCTCAAAAACACACATTTGAAGTGTATGTAATGTTTTTAAGGTCTTTGTTAACAACACTGAGAATGTATATAAATTTATATGACATTGTTGTTAAGAAATAGTTATTGTACCACTTTGTAACCAATAAACGTACTACAAATAAAGAATATTGCTTTAATATAACACGAATATGTATCAATTAATATATAGAATATAAACATCAAATAAATGTCATACTTTTATACAAAGAAATTTATCATGCAACATACATTTGAAACCAGCTGAAGACCAGTCTAAGTATTTGCCGTGCAGTTAATAAGATATTCATTTATTCACGAAAGCATGTCTGTGATTCAGTGATAAATTAAATGTTTTGCTATCTAGGAATCATTTGGGATTAGACAATAATTCTAT